AACATCCTCAACGAACAACTGATTTCTGTGCACCCCACAAAACTGCAAGGAACACTCTTCCGAGGATATATCCAATTACAATTGTACTCCAGAATGCAGTGGGGCTTGGTATAACCGAAAAAGATTGACAGTTTGGTCACTTGGGGCACGAAGGTGAGAAGTAGGAAAAGTAACAGTCCCAGATGTTTTTGAAAAAAACAAAGCCTTGTCAGTCTGAGAATTGAACACACAGTTAGTCGAAAAAATGGACAACCGGTGACACATTTACTGGCTGTCTGAAGCACCCCAATAATCAAATAATATCAAAGTAGAGTATAAACGTGTTTCTAATCAATGGACCAAGTACATACTTAATTTCATTGGTTCATTCAGCAATGCAGTCTTTTGGGCCGTTGGATACACTATCTTGTCTGCAGCCGTTGGATGTGATTGGAATTAGAATACAACAAATGTCTGTTGCACCCAGTTGACTGATTCTGCTGACACAACAGGTCAAATGCACTAAAAACGCTCGCTATTTGCTAGGTTCATTTACTTGCTGCAGTACGCTGGATAATTATATTCTCGGACACAATACAAATCCCAGCTAATATATCGTGCCCCTCCTTCCTTAAAAAAGTGTTTACCTTAATTATACACACGTTTGAACGAACAAAGCACCCTCTCGTGGAAATCGGGATCAGTATACTGGATTTCTCATTCTGTTGCCAGCTGTGCGTACACTCCAAACAAGCACAGCATATGGTCATCCTGAATGTTTGCATATTTGTTATGGCTTAGAGACAGTTTGAAGATGGAGAGCGGTGTCAATGGGAATAACGTGACCTCTAAGGGGAGAGGACATTGAGTGCCCAAAACAAGCTAATGAGCCGAGAGCACTCACACTGACGGGGGATATATTGACTTGGTGTGGATTAGGGATGATGAATACAGTTTGGACGCCTTGAAAACGAAACGCCACGTTATGAGTAGTACATTACGAAACCGTAAATACTTGGTGACTGTTCGCTCAAAAAGCGGTGATAAAGCAGCTGACTTGAAAGTTTTTTTTAAGATGACATGATTGTGAAGACAGACGAGTGGTGAAACGGAGTATCTCTGTCATGAAGACCGACATCCCTTAGAGTAACAGCCCACCCTAGAGGCGATCATTTTACCGGGTGAGCACTCCATATCGTCCTCAAAAAAGCAGCGGAAAAGTTCGCTGTTTGGTCAACAACCGAATTTCTTGGTTGCACTTCACGTTGGTTCACTTTGTACGTTTGCAAGTTTGCAAGAGCAGCAAACCTACCCGAAAGAAGTCCAAGCGTTCGGTTAAATCGTTGATATAAGATCCCAAAGGCTTCAAGCTTGGATAGGATTTTCCTGCCCAGACGTCCGGTAATTTGTTCACGCTGAGAGCGGCAGCCAAAGATTCTAACATCTCCGACATGATCACCAAACCTTTGATGGCCTTCTTCAAGTCTGTCAGTGTGTTTTTGATAACTCTTGTTAGACTGAAGTATAGAGAAAAAGTATGATATTTTTAGCTGTTCAGCCAGTTTAAGTTCAACTCATCCACACAAGCTAACAATATTCACTATTCAATGTTTAATATTCAGCCAACGCACAACTGTATCAGAGACCAATATTATTTTTGTGTTCACATGACTCTCTTGAGCAGTACCCATCCTGTCCTTAAGCAACTATTCTGGTTAGTCCAAAGAAGGGAGAACTGGATTCGAGTTTTGCTCCAATTAGGGCTCATGAGCAACGCATACCTTTGGTCATGCCGGGTTTGAACTCCGGACATTTGATACAGGAGGTGAGGGTGTTACAACCATTCCACCAGCACAAGCTGGAAACAACATAACTATCGTGTTTGAACAGGCGTGTGTTAACGCTTAAGTGATGCGGTTGGTTTGCACGAAGCCTCGAAAGACGTCGAAGTAACCGTCCTGGTTGTGGAGATCGATTGAACCAACTGTCAGGACAAGCCAGTCAGATAGTGTCATGAACGCATGAAAACTGCTGGACAATTTGTGGTTAGTTGTAAGTGGTAGCGGGATTTGTGGAATTCTGTTGTGTGGACCCAACAGAATAATTGCACGGGATTTGTGGAATTCGTTCTGTTGTGTGGACCCAACAGAATAATTGCGCAAGTACAAGGGTGAGACTAGTCAAACGCGAATTCTACACATCCCACAAACACCTACAACTAATACTACTTCACCCCCATATGCATACACGAAACTCACCATCCAATAAAGGCCATGGTAATGTTATGACAAATAATGGGCGTCTCATAGTGAAGGGATGACAAAGAAAGTTGACGTACTTGTTGAATCGCTCCATCTCTTGCACCAGCACCGTGTTCATACTCTCCTCGTACTTGACTGGATACTTTTTAATGGCATCTTCCAAGTCAAACGCGGCTGGGATCTTACCCAAGATGTCTGATGCGATTTCATCCAACTCGGCATCAGAAAACCCAACAGTGCCTGCTGTACTCTGACCAACAGTCAGTAGGATAGAGTCGGTAAGCATTCGAGTTTCACTCAGTTCGCGTGTAATGTCCACATTCTCGTGCATACCAAACACTTCAGGGTTCTGGGTGGCTGGTAGACTCTGAAACACACGTTTATTGATGGTATTATTTCAGTGTCATGGTCCCAAGAACAGTGGCTGGCAAAATGTTAGGCTTCGAGGGGCATGTTACGTCCTAACCTGTGTTTTCTACTTATCCCGCTGATCCTCATAATCGCGAGTGCAACATAACGCATGAGTTACAATAAAGGTGGGTAGTTGTAGACCCCTGGTTCATACTCTGCTTGATGCATTTCATGAGCAGCTACGTTTAGCCACCAAACTTAACAGTAAAATTATGAGTGAATATAAGCAAAGTACGATTCTAAAACGCATATGAGACCAATAGCAATAGTAGTCAGAACACAGTTCAGACCTCATGGGTTCCTATAAGGTCAGAACTATGGTCCACTGTTTCGCTGATCATGCCTAATTAGGATCTAATGAATGAGATTAATGTAGCTTTAAGCACGATTGGTAAGGTGGTCATATCAACGGGTTCTCATTTTCAAAGCTACGAAATTCACACCTGTTTGTTTAGACACTTTAACTTTTTCCCAAACGGTAACTTTTTTGGCGGAACACACTACTCATAAGGTCGCTGAAACCCCTTCGATAGCCTACAACCGGTTTCGCCTTCTCTTTGGGCTCATCAGCTAGACGCAGTCCGGTTTAAATGCTCATAAGCTAAGGTCCAAACATGGGAGAGATGTGATGCACTAACCCTGCGCGGGGCTCCAGTTGGATCTAGCAACGAATTGGTTGTTGTGATAAATGCCAGAAGTGCTTCCTATTCAGTCATGTTCCGACTCTCGCCTACCGGTTGACTGGACTCGAATGAACGACGCATGTGTACAAAAACATGTACACTGACACATCGGTCAAACTATCCGTGGTGAGATTGAACTTGCTGGTATCGCTTGCAGCGCAGAAATTGCGTCAGGAGCACTCTGGTTGACAGGAAATGAGTCATTTATGAATACTGCGCTATGAATGAACACTGACTTTCGAATCAGTTTGGTGTCGACGGGGGGCACTTCTGAAATTCGCCAAAATGTCTCCCCCTTACCGCTTTGTTTAAAGGCTGTTTCACATTCCAGTTGAAACGATATTCAAGACATTAAATTATTGTGCGATATTACGCATACGGTCCAGGGTCTTCGTCAACCTAATGTGCAGTATTACACTCTGATTTCGTGAACTAGTTCAAAAGCCGAGAAGCGTATTACGACTGCCCCGCACCTGCTTAGAAATGTGCGCCTAAAGGGTAGTGACACCGAATCCGGCCTAATGCAGACGAATCACACTGTGGATCACCTGTGGCCTGCACCTTTGAAAATATCTGATCACGAGTGAAGAGGGTGATTCAATCATTTTATATAAGTTGTAATGCTCGGTCTTCTAGTGTCCGTAGCCACCTTGTTCATAATCGAGCCTGAGCACAAGCAACTTTTCTGTGAACCGCTCTCCTCAGGTATTCATGAAGCACCTTCATTTGTGAAGAATAGAGAGAGGCAACAAAAGTTCGGAAATAAACCGAGGGTCATGGGCATCGGAGTACCACAGTAGAGAGGACAGGTAGGTCAGCAGGTAACAGTGATTGACTTCGGTGACGGCTGCTGCTGACAGGCTGTCGAGTGGCCCGCACCAACACCGAATGGTCGATAGTAAATATGGTCAACTGAATGGCTGCAGCAGAGAGCTTTCTGGGATTATGAATCAGAAAAATCGGCTTACAGGAAACGGAGATGTACACAGAAATCAACCTATGTTCTCCGCTGGGTCAAGGGACCGAATGCAACGAACTTTGAATCATGAATTATGCCACTGTGACGAATCCATACACATACATATAAAAGGTCGCATGTCACAGCTAGCATGTTTGCATAGCTAAATGCCTGTCCGACTGATTGGCCTCTTGCAAAAAAATTGAACGGCAGAACGACCGGGAAAGATTCGCTCTATGCCGACCACTGTGTTCCTATTTGACGACGAGTAAATATGCAGACACCTGTGCAAACTAATGCCATAAAAAGAAATACCGGTAACTTTTCTATAACGACTTCTGTCGTGAAACCAATTCGCCGCAACGCGATAAATGTGGAAAAGTAAAGTATAAGTCAGGACACATACCACGGCGTGTTTATCGTGACCATTGTGTGCCATCTTTTGCCTACAATTTATTTGATCACGGGTAGAATACGGGTGTATCTATTGACCAAAACTTTAGGTGACAACGGTGAACACTTTTCTGATGCGCGACACGATAAAGTGCATTCGGGCACGATTTTATCAAGAATTCGACAAAACTTCAGGCTTATGGTTGATAAAACTTTAAAGGATCCATGCGCGTTTGTACATTTATCTTCCTTTAAAAGTCAGATCCGACTCAAAGTGACGAAATGATTTCTTGTGCTATTGCAGCCCCAGTAGATAGTAGGATCAGGGCTTCTCCTACATATCGGTGGGAGATAAACACTGCAGTGGGGATGCGGGAACTAGGTCTATTCGATGAGCTTCAAGTGGGGTGGAACCCGCAATAAGATGTCCAGCGTTTTCATCGACCAGGACAGAAAGCTCAATGTTCGGCCAGAAACTGGTACGGGCCTGAAAGCCTAGACTTTGACAAGGGTCTCTGGGTATCGGTTGTCACATCCTACTAGTTTAGCAGAACTGGGGCACTATATTCAAGAAAAAAGGCATGTCAGCGGGCATCGGTCAAATCCTAATCATAAGAAGATCGCTCTACATTAGACAGATAGATTGACCCCGTGTTCGGCTAATCAAGTGACGTGGATGGAGTGAATCGATCAAAAGAACCATTCAGTTGCTTAGCTTCTCTTGTCATTTAAGCTATACTCATGGTAATAGTATATCAGGACCTCTGATCACGTACCTTGATAAACTCCAAATAATCTGTGTACTCCATTTTATTGGGAGCGAAATAGAGTCCACTGGCCGAGAACTTATACCTTGGATCAGATACAATAGCTGGGCATAGAAAATCACAAAGAATCGTCATCAAACACCGTCTATCCCGTTCATCCGTTACTCGACCACCGTAGTTGCACTCGCCTGTCATGTATTGAATTGCATCATACGGTACCTGAAAAAAAATACAAAAGAATCAGCTGTATGAGAGACCAGAACAGCAAAGACAATCACTAGAAAAATCAATCTCAAATTGTCGCTATTTGCCTGATGATTACCACCGTAAATTCAGGCACAAACTGAAAAGTGGTAGAACTAGGCTCAAAAACGACCTCCGAATAGTCTCACAGACGTCATAGGAGGAGGATTCGGTGTCCTTCCACTTGATTATGGTTTTTCAAAACGAAACCCTTGCATCAGACAGAATAAAGGTAGTAAGGGTCTATGCTAACCAAACTCTTATCTTCAGAGACATCTGTGAACACCAATTCGAACATCAAAAGCCCATGTCCTCTTGCTTCATAGCTTTTCCACGTTAATTTAACGAATGCCTGTGGAAGATTAAGCTATAGAACTGCGAAATGTGCGGACGAGACAAAGGTGACACGGTTGATCTGTATGTGTGCCACAAAACAAGACCTATTCAGTCCCAGCCGTAGCTAGAACTGATGCCACGGAAAATGAAAGAAGCCCCGGTGGCAGCCTTGAGCACTGGGCGAACGCTGGTACACAGGGCGAAGTAGTATAGGTGTCGTGATTGCAAAAGTGGAGAGGTTGTGCACTGGTCCAATACAATTGCTGGTTGGCTGCGGCTAGTGGAAAAAGGCACGTTTTGAAGATTGTGACGAAATATCGATGCACTGGTAGGTTTGACAAACACAGGAACACATTCTTTCGGGTGACTTTTCTTTTCTGCCCCACGAGGCAGATTGGAAATTCGAAGTAGTTCTGTGGAAAACTTGCCAGCAGTGTCATATGAAACAATTTCCCTTCGAGATCACACGGAAATGCTGAATCCGAAGGTTTGCTAGTCTGCAAAAGGAGCAATTCTTAAAGCTGATGGAAGTCCTACACTGGTTTTTTTGACCACGGTGACGCATTTCATACCCTCGGGTTTCCTGGTCCTGGGTGCCTGAGAAAAAGGGATGACAGCGTTTTGGATGCAGTCGTCTCTCCGCAGGATTTTCCTTCGAGGCCAGTTTACAACTGATTAACACGGTTTACACAGTTGGGTTTCGGGCCTTATATTAACCACTTTGTTGCATGCTTTCTCACGTTAAACACAAGGCCAAGATGATCATTATCTGAGCAGTTAGACCGACGCCAAAATTAGTGATTTATCTTCATTTGCCGATAACGTGACCTGTGGGTACTATTGTTAGTGTTTGGTCGGTATTCCAAAGGGGCCTTTACATATAACTGCGACACCAAATTGCTTGCAGTGATAGGTGAAGAAGTCTGCACTCATTGCTGTCTGGTTGCAGGAAGATAGTGTTCCACTACGTTCTATTCAAAGTGTACACATATAGAAAGAAACATAAGAACATTGATAGATCAACAGGGGGCCTTTGCCTGGCCGAAATCAGGTTCACTGGATGAGTTCATTCAAGATAGTTGGAGCGGTGCATCTGCAGTGGTAGCTCAAGGCTACTTCAAGAAAACCTAGGATCGTATAGGGGTGGAAGAAAGTCATCCAGCCAGCTTTAGAAGGAATGGTGGCTAGTTCCTTGAGACGTAGGCCTTTGTGCTGACAGAATGTTAGGGCCTTTGCAACATATACATCACCAAGGTTGTGTAAACTCCTATGTCGAGTATCGTAACAGTGAGCTATCATGCCTGCTACAAAATTCGCAAGCAGGCACATCTTCTAGCCCCTAGAATAGACTAAGAGAAATTGAGTGGCCGCACGATTTAGATGAGGGATTTGGGAGATATTATTCCCACAACGAGATCACGTTCTTCGATGGTACCTCCATAAGGTTCTTCAATCTACCAGTTGGATGAATTTCCCTTTGATTGTTGACAGTATGATTTCCAGCAATCGAAAATCCATTTGGCAGCAAAAAAATTGGTCAGCAGGCTTTTTTGTTTGACCAGAGTGCCTTACGACGCACAATATTCCTCCGAGTTGTTCTCTAAGTGTAGCGAAATCTCCCACTATCCGACTGCGAGCATTCTAGGCATACATTGGTTTCCGGCCCCCTGTGAAGAATAGCGCACGGAAAATCAATGTAGCTTCCTTTTTAATTTGTCTTCTACCGTTCAAATTACGGTATTCCGTTTTCACGACAACACTCAATGTAGCTCCGCTACCTGAGCTAATCGTCATTATAGGCCGCTGCGCGCCGAGGACGTCAAAAGACTTTCAGTGTTTGACCATCGGTGTCTTCGGAGCATTGCCCGAATCTGGTGGGAACACCGGAACTGCACTCATTAGTTACCCTTCACCTAAGTAAACTCAAGTGTAGTTAGGACTGATACGACCACGAACACCAGATCTGTCACGGGAACATATCAG